ATCCCCAGCTGGCCCCCAATGTGTGCTGGCACATTTTATAGCCCAAATAAATGCGGCAGAAGTGTTACACAAATGTTTATGCCTCATTATGCCTCATCTTTTTCATCCTCATTGAGGTAACATTTTGATATTTCCTCTCCTTTGTGAATTGAATATTTTCCCCTTGCCTCTTCTGTAATTGCTTGGGGTTAATCCCTTGTAACATTGGATTATAACTTTCAACCTTCTGTTGGGCCTAATTTAAATCACTTGATTTTGCTTACAATAGGTGTACATTTTTGTTACAGTAAATGGCCCTGTTGCTATGTTTATTGCCTTGCCCTTATTGTTTCCATGTTTCCACTAGGAGTTCACCACCAAGCACTCATGATTGCGTATGACCTAGGATCTAGAACTAGGTGTCTGGTGTAGTCCTAAACTATGCTGTGGTCTCTCCTACTGCCCGTCATCACTGATAGCCGTGCAGAGGAACTGAGACAGGCACACAGATGGTGACAGTATAAGGCCAAACTAGTGTTGAATGGGTGGTGTGTAGTGTTTTCAGGAGACAGAGAGGGGACCCAGAGAAGCTTCAACCACTGGCCCAAAGGGTGGTGGGCTTTTGTTCAGTGGATACTGAGTGGGTCTCTCCTGGTGGAGCAGAGACACTGAATTATGACCCGTGGCAGTCAATGAGAAGTTCATGCCCAGAGGGCAGGCGGCCACCAGAGGACCAGCTTTACTATAATACCAGGGGCCTGGGGGAGGTGAAAATATATTAACCTGTATGCCCTCTTAACATCATTAACATTAAGATCTGAATTCATTCTTCTCCCACCCACACCCACCGGCCATAAAAGTGTCATATCTGAATGGAACTTTAAAAAATCTAATTCATACTTCTGCCAAACTAGACTATAAATTTGAAGGGTTGTTTTTATGTAAAGTTCCTTAAAAGTTGAGCTTGGATCACCCTTCATCTTCAACTTTCATGTGGAGCTGATTGGGACGAGATCACCATACCACAGCTGCATTTCCTGCAAGAGAGCACCTATCCCCCAAAGGCTCCATCCTTCAGACCAGTGTTTCCCTACCTTCTCTCATGATGAGAATCATCTGGTGGAGTTGTTAAGATACAGATTCCTGAAGTGGTTGAAGCTTCTCTGGGTCCCCTCTCTGTCTCCTGAAACTAGAATTTTTGGGAACATATAGGTAAAATTGTATACTTAACTATCTAGACAGATGATTCTCATCATGAGAGAAGTTTGGGAAACACTGCTTTAGAGTGTTGAACTTTGAGAAACAAGTTCTATGTTAAAACTATTTAGTGGGGCCCTAGTTTGGCCTAGTGGATAGAGCATGGGCCCATGGACTGAAGGGTCTTGTACCTCTGTTGCCCTGGTTGGGACATGTGTGGGAGACAACCAATCAATGTGTCTCTCACATCTGTTTCTTTCACTCTGCCTCTCCCTTCCACTCTTTCTAAAAATCAATTTAAAAATCTTTAAAATTTAGATGTAAAAGCAAATTATGATTTCAAATTAAAATATTGTGTGTTTGTATACATACACACACATGCACACACACACATTTTAAAAGAGATGGATATTGAGCAGGCTCAGATTGCATGTGTGGTTATCTCAAGTTTTAATCAGTATGCTGTTGCACCCCTTCATCAGAGAGAGTGATTACTGCAGCTATTACAGTGACATGGGTTTGGGGATTATAGAGGAGCAGCATTTTGGAAAAGGCACTGTTTAGCTTCAAGCTTAGTTCCTCTGTGGATTGACTTCTCTGAGCCTTCCTTCCTCACCAAAAATTCGGTAGTGATTCTTATCATATCTACACCAGTCGTTCTTGATCTTACTATTGATGAGTCACCATTTTGTATGTCACCCAAATAATTCTCTGGACCCCTCTACTCTATATTCTATCACCTCCTTATTTCAAGCCAAATTGTCTCTCAGCTGCACCCTTGTTGGGCTCTTGCCTTTACACCGAGATAAAGTGATTTTTAACCACAAATCTAAGTCCATCTTCTGTTTTAACATTTAAAATTTTTTCTCAAAATAAGTCGGCATCCATGACCTGGCCCTAGTCTACTTTTTTTTTTTTTTTTTTTTACATAAATCTTTATTGCTTAGATTATTACAATTGTTTCTCCTTTTGCCCCCCTATAGCTCCCTTCCACCCAGTTCCCACCGCACCCTCTGCTCTTACCTCCCCCCTGCCATTGTCCTCATTTATAGGTGTATAATTTTAATCCAGTCTCTTCCTGCACCCCCCACACCTCTTTCCCCCTGATAATTATCAATCCACTCCCTTTCTTTGCCCCTGATTCTATTATATTCACCAGTTTATTCTGTTCCTCGGATTTTTAATTCACTTGATGTTTAGATTCACTTGTTGGTATTTATGTATTTGTTGATCATAATTTTTATCTTTTTCTTCTTCCTCTTCTTAAAGAATACCTTTCAGCATTTCATATAATACTGGTTCTGGTGATGAACTCCTTTCGTTTTTTATTATCTGTTAAGCTCTTTATCTGCCCTTCAATTCTGAATGATAACTTTGCTGGATACAGTAATCTTGGTTGTAGGTTCTCACTATTCATCACTTTGAATATTTCTTGCCACTCCCTTCTAGCCTGCATAGTTTCTGTTGAGAAATTAGCTGATAATCATATGGGTGCTCCCTTATAGGTAAGCAACTGTTTTTCTCTTGCTGCTTTTAAGATTCTCTCTTTGTCTTTTGCTCTTGGCATTTTAATTATGATGTGTCTTGGTGTGGTCCTCTTTGGATTCCTCTTATTTGGGGTTCTGTGAACTTCCTGTCCTTGTAAGTCTATTTCTTTCACCAGGTGGGGGAAGTTTTCTGTCATTATTTCTTCAAATAGGTTTTCAGTATCTTGCACTCTCTCTTCTTCTGGCACCTCCATAATTCTGATGTTGGTACACTTGAAATTGTTCCAGAAGCTCTTTACACTATCTTCAACTTTCTGGATTCTCTTTTCTTCTCCAGAGGAGTGTCCTTTGTCTCTTTATATTCCAAATCTTTGACTTGATTCATGTGTTCCTCCAGTCTGCTGTTGGATCTCTGTATATTTTTTTTATTTCAGTCAGTTTATGTTTAATTTCTAGTTGGGTCTCATTAAATTTATCAGCCTTTTCTAGGAAATTCTTGAAAAACCTTATAACCATGGTTTTGAACTCTATATCCAGACTTTTATTCTCCTCCATCTCTTTCGTTTGAGATCTATTTCCTTGTCTCGGCATTTTTACTGCTTCCCAGAGTTGGTAGGATCGCTTTGTGTATTTGGTGTCCTATATGGCCCAGTGGGTCAGCCTCCTCAGTTACCTGAGGTAGACATTCTTGGTGCTCCCCTTTGTGAACTGCATGAACAACCTTGCTGTAGTTAAGATTTGATTGTTGTTGGTATCACTGGGAGGAATTGACCTCCAAGCCCATGGGATGTGAGTATCAGCCATGTCTACTCCAGGATACCTTCTGTATTGGAGACAGTCTTATAGGATCAGACTTGCAAAACTGCAAAAGCCTCTGTGCTCGACTTGGATGGGGCAGAGTCTCAGGGCTGAGTTGACATTCTTGGCTTTCTGTCAGCCCTGCCCTTGTGCGCTCGCCTGAGTTTCTGCCTGACCTCTGCCTTCTGCGGCTTCCCTGAGTTTTCGCCTGACTGTCCTGATTCCCCGTGCATAAGCTTCTGACTGGAATTGGGTTGGGTCTCTGTAGTCTGGAGCTTCTGACTTCTTCTGCTATGGAGAGGCCACTGCAACCTCCGCAGCCAGACTTCTCTGCACGCAATCACTCACGAGCAACTGTAGACTGCCCGCTGCGGCTCCTGGCTCCCCATCTCTGAGTCTCCAGGTGTCTTTCTCTACAGTCCGGACTCCACCTGTATGAGCCTGGGTCCACGGGGTTTCGGCCGGGGTTGGGGTTCAGTGCAGTTGGAAAGGGTTCAGTTCAATCAGGTTCCCCCTTAGCCCTCCCGCCAGCCAGGCATTCGGCCGCCCTTCTGCACACAAGCGTCTCCCTACCTCAGCGCTCCACAGCCCCCAATCTGATCCGTGAGCCTCTCTCCTTCTTTCCAATTGCAGATCTCCCACTCTGCCAGCCCTCCCAGGGCTTTTGGATGATGTCCGTTTTGTCCTCCAATTGTTCTGAAATTATTATGTGAGGCAGCAGCTTAGGTGCTTACCTAGGCCACCATCTTGGTTTCTCCCCTAGTTTACCTTTTACTCTCTCCTCTACCTCACCCCATCCACACTCACTGCCAGTGATGTCTTTAACATTCTCCATAAACCCAAATGCATCAGGCACCCTCACCTCACACCAGCTGTTCTGTGGGGGCCATTTCCTCTATCTGGAATGTGCCTCTTGCCTCTCCTTTGGCTCCCTCTATACTCCTAAACCCGCCCTTAGGATTCATCTCCTCAGAGACGTCTTCCTAACTCCCTCAGGCTGAGTCCCAGCTCCTACATTCCTCTAGTCCTGCGTGCTGCCCTCTGCCAGCACCCACAGCTTATAGGGCAGCTATCTCCTTCCTTATCTGCCTCTGCTCCTAAATGCAGAGCTTTGAGGGAGGAGTCTTCATATTCACCGAAGTGCAGAGTCCGGGATGGTAGGTGTTCATGGTCTGCCTAAAGGCAGTGGCTGCCCTCCCAGGCCTCCTAGAGGGTTTGATGGCTCTTTCACCCAACACGTGTTTATTTGTTGGCTGCTGTGGGCAACCAGCCTTTCACTTATAAGAAAGACCCCTGCCCTGTCTCTCTCTGTCTGCACTGCACAGCCATGAGCTTGCCAGTACATCCAGCTTGGCTCCAGCATGCAGGGAAAGCACAGAGGCAAATCTGGTGACTGCCCTTTGCCCCACAATGTGGTGTTCAGCAAAGAAGGGCCCTGTGATGGCAGACATTTGCATTTAAATGTTTGAAATACTCTTGCTGACTCTTCACAGCTAATGGAGTCCCATGGTTCCTGATCTGTCTGTTCTTTGCCTTCAGGTCCACATTGGCCAACTGTATTCGACTGACAAGCTTATCATTGAGAATCAGGAGAAGCCCAAGACCTAAAGACCAGCACCATCAGCAACCACGGACCACCTCCAGCACCCACTCTGTGCTTGGGATTGGGACCCCAATGGACCACGAGTGGCTTCTTGCATCAGCTTCAAACAATAACCTCTTGCTCAGCCTGCCCTGTAGAAACTGATTCAGTAAATTGAGTGAGGTTTCCATTCTCCTGCAGCCTTAGTGGCAAGGGTGGCTGTCTCTCCTTGGTTCAGTGTTAGAATGAAGAGCTGATGCTCACTCAAAATAATGCTGTGTGTTATTGTGTCTACTCTCTGCCATTCTTCCCCCTTTAGTAGCTCATCGCCACTTGTACAGAGCATCTCCAGACTTTGTTTCTTAGTCCTCAACAATAAACAGGATTGTCTCCCTAAGCCTGCTACCCAGATACACTCATCCTGATTAATGCACTGTGTTTCCTGCAGCTGTAGGTCCTGCACAGAGGGGTAGGGGTGCCAGGAGGGAGGCTCCAACCTTCAGCTGAGTCCTCCTTTTCTGGAAGCAAGCCCAGGCACCAGAAGAGATTTGGGGGACAGCAGGAAGGCAGGCAGGGCCTGGGGGCAGAAGGTGCACCCTGCAGTGGACCCTTAGGCCCAACGCAACCACAGGATGGCAAGCAAGTGGATACACACCTAGAGACAAGGCAGCTCAGAGGTCTGAGGATCAGCACCGCCTGGGAACAGAAGCTGAAGCCACACCCCAAACCGTTTGAATCAGAATGGTCGGTCTAACACTGGAGGTAACTGCAGGGCCTTTGAAGTTCAAGGAGTGCTGCTGTCAGCACTGCTTCCAAATCCAGCCCCCAGCTCACCTGCTGAGTTCCAATTTCCCGGAGATTTGGAGCATTTTAAAATTTCTGAGTGCTTCCCTCCCCTTGGATTCTGACTTAGTAAAAGGTGAAACACAATAACTTACACGTACATTTTTTAAGCTCTCCTAGTGTTTTTAATGTTTAACCACCTCGGGAAACTCTGCTCTTTATCTTACAAGTTAAAAAAAACTTGTTTGGATTTATCCTTGGAAGTACATCAGTTCAAAACATGGGTGGAGGTATTAAATAACGTACTTGACTTGTGGAGATTTTACGAGGGACCAGGCCCTGAGTGATAGTTTTGTTTCATTCTGTAAACAGAGCTAAGTGAATTCATTCATTATTTATGTGTCTAGGTTTGGGACAGGCTCATATAAATATTTACAGGTTCTACAATGGCTGTGACACTGTCACCAACATGCCACAGATTGCCCCTACAGCCCCCCTCATTTTAATTCACGTGAATCAAGCACAAGCAGTCTGTGGCCTCATCCTCATACTCATGGTAAAGATCATGCCTGCCCATCTCACTCATGGATTGTAGATGTTGTAATAGTGCATTCAAAACAGAAGAAACATAGTCATTGTATTTGGCATTACTACTTGTGACTTCAGAATGCGTTTGCCCATGGATAAGGTCTCAAGGCTGCAGTGTGAGGAAAAAATGGTCAGCAGGTTCCCAGTGTCGGGAGTGCGGGAAGTCTTCTCTCCCTTCCCACTGATTTTGGTGGATTAGTGTCTCCCAGCCCCGCATGTGTGGCTCTGGGTCACTTTCCACTCTGCGTTAGTACAGTTCATGGCCATTCAACAACAACTGCATCCAACAACTGTGCTAGCTAATAGATATCAGCTCTGATTTATACTGAAATTAAAACAGCTGCTACTTAGAAACCCCTGAGTCCACACATGAACCTCTTCTCTACAAGCCTTACATTTCTAACAGGCTAACACCTCCATAGGAGACTCCATGTCACACTTCTCTGTGACATATTTTAGTCTCAGAGACAGTAGACCCAGAAAACTTGACTTGTTCTGCAGACCTTTAACAGAAGGTTAATTTATTTATCACGTCTAAGGGCCGGCTGAAGTTGCCTCATGTCAGGCAGACATGAATTATTAATCTGCCAAGTCTTAGCATGTGCTTTCACTGTACAACCATAATCTTGCACTTCCTTATCTATATATATAAAAAAGCCTAGTGACTGTTGCAACCTTTACAACCAAACAACCGATCGCTATGACGTGCACTGACCACTAGGGGGCAGACAATGCAGGAGCTTCCCCCTGGCGGTCAGTGTGCTCCCACAGCCAACCTCCCATGGCTGGCCAAACTCCTTCAGCCCTTTCCTCTGGCCAGCCCATTCCCCTGATTGACCTGATGAGGGAAGTCGGACAGCTAACCTCGTGGCACCCCTCAACCCAGCCAGTTGGCCCCGATCAGCCCTGATCGCTGGGCAGGCCAAGGGACTCCACCCGTGCACAAATTCATGCCTCTAGTGGAACTATAAACAGAAGTTTGTTCAAAGGAAGGAAACAAGATGTTGCTCCCTCCTTACAAAAAATAGAGTTTTTTTTATTTTTTAAGTTGGAAGACAGGAATATGGAATGAGGCTGGTGGGAGCAAACCTGCACAGGACAGTCTGAAACCTAGGGATGCCATTGTGAACGAAGGGATCCATCTCCCGCCATTAATCGACTATGATGTTATCTAAGTCCCTCAACTTGGACCATGGCTCCTCTGCGACAAAGTGGGGTGGACAAGTCCCAGGATCCCTGCTGACCTTTCTAGCTCTAAAAACCCAAAGGGAGGAAGCCTTCTCGAGCCCCTCTGAATGTTAGTTTGGACCAATTAGCAGGAAACCTTGGGTGTTGACTTGTGTGGGGGTTCAGTGCTATTTCAGGTGGCCCAGAGCTTTCAGCCCAGCTCAAGGTACATGAGAGTCCATATCTGGGATTAAATGGCAGCTCAGCGAGCTGAACCTTGTGCAAAGGCTCATGGAGCCTTTAGGGGGCCTTAGCCCTTTGGAGTCTTCACCAGCCTCTGGTCCAGTGTCTAACCCAACAAGTGTGCTTCTAATTTTTTTTGAACCAAAAACTTTTTCTTCCTGGTTCTGCTGGCTTCAGAAATTCCTAAAGCAGAATTTGGACTCAGCTGAAAAAGAAAGAGAATATCTATCTCTTGTTTATCCAACAATAACAATAATTCTCAATAACTTTTCCCTTGTAAGTCTTCAAAGATAGACACATGGTTTAAATAAATTAAAAAAAAAAAAGTTGCCAAAACCGGTTTGGCTCAGTGGATAGAGTGTTGGCCTGCGGACTGAAGGGTCCCGGGTTCGTTTCCAGTCAAAGGCATGTACCCTGGTTGCAAGCACATCCCCAGTAGGGTGTTTGCAGGAGGCAGCTGATCGATGTTTCTCTCTCATCGATGTTTCTAACTCTATCCCTCTCTCTTCCTCTCTGTAAAAAAATCAATAAAATACATATTAAAAAAAAGTTATGAGTGTACTCAAGAGAGAAGTGAGCAGCCTAGAGTGGAGTCCAATTGTGGGATCCCAGTTAAACACGTGTGAAACAACTGAAATGACCAGGGCTGAACTGGCCACGTGCCTGAGGACAGTGTGGCCTGAGAGAATGACCAAGATCCTGGAAAGGAATGAAGTGTTGGGATAGGAGATGGACAGTTCAACTCTGGGAGGGCTGAGAGAGGCAGGTGCACGGTGCTTGTGCACTGAAACGGCGCAAATCCTGCTTGCTGTTGAGAAAATGACAGGTCCATTGGCAGCCAGGGAGCTATAGACAGCCCAGAAAGCCTTCATCTTCCAGCTCTGCTTCCTTGACAGTGAGATCCTGGGCAGTAGCTTCTCTAAACTCATCTATCACATACCTACCTTATACGGGAGCTGTAAAGATTGTACGTGCATAACACATATAAATATCTTCTACCAAGTTTTATAGAGAGTAAGCAAGCAATAACCACTAGCTATCTTGGCATTCATTTAGAAATGGTGTCAGATACCTTAGGGATGTACAAATGCACCAGATGTGGGTTCTTTCCTGAGTTACAGTACATTTAGCACTGTAAGACATGTATATAAACAGATTTGCAAAGTCTGAGTGAGAAGTTACCTATCAGAGGCACAGATAAAGTAGAGCTAGAAGAGGCATAGAGGTAAGATACAAAAGAAGGAGAAATTGCTTCTGCCTGAGCCACAAATTCTGAGTTTTATTTGGTGTGGAAGGGGGTTGTTAAGCAAGTGATAGGAGCATGAAGCAGCTGAACTACATTGTGATACACAGAATGCCCGTGAGCAGAGAGCCAGCGAGGAATCTGTAGTGGTAACTTAGATGCAAAAGAATTCAGGCCTGGCTGAGGACAGTAGCCATGTGAATTAGATGGAAGACTGAATCCAAAAGTTATTTCCAAAGGACAGACTTAATGAGAGAGATTGAATACACCAAATAAAGAACAGCAGTGAAGCAAAAATAACTGGAATACTTTGGTCCTATAGACTGGCAGAATGGGGTTGCTCTCACTGAAATAAGATCTAAGGCAGCAATTCAGCCCCCTTAATGCAAATACATATCTACAAACACTGTACCGCTACAAGTCTGCATTCTGTGTGTGTGTGTGTGTGTGTGTGTGTGTGTGTGTGTGTGTGTGTGTGTGTGATCTGCAGTAGAGGCACTGGGTAGCTGCCTATTTCATGAGAGCCCATTTTGCTCCCTCAGGCCAAAGAGGACCACACCAAGACAAAACTTAATTAAAATGCCAAGAGCAAAAGACAGAGAGAAAATATTAAAAGCAGCAAGAGAAAAGCAGTTAATTACTTACAAGGGAGCACCCATATATGATTGTCGGCAGATTTCTCAACAGAAACTATGCTGGCCAAAAGGGAGTGGCAAGAAATATTCAAAGAAATATAGCAAGAACCTACAACCAAGATTATTCTACCCAGTAAAGTTGTTATTCAGAACAGAAGGTTAGATAAAGAGGCTCACGGATAAGAAAAAGCTAAAGGGGTTCATCACCAAGAACCAGTATTATCTGAAATGCTGAAAGGTATTCTTTAAGAAGAGGAAGAAGAAAAAATTAAAAATTATGAACAGCAAATACATATCTATCAATAAGTGCATCTAAAAATCAAGTGAATAAAAAAATCTGATGAACAGAATAAACTGGTGAATATAA